TGTGGGATAGAGAATGATAAAAAGCATGCAACCTGACAAAAGGCTTCACAGCTCCAGCAGCTTACTCCGTCCAGGTGCAGGGCCAGCACCAGAGAAATGGGAAATCAACACTGAGGCGTGCAGAAAGGGCAGATTACATGCCACTTGACCACCTTTTAATCTCATGATACAGAAGACACTTTTAGATTGTATTAGTTTAATTGGGAAATACAAAAAAATGGATTCAAGAAAGAAAGGATCCACTCAGCAGTGGACAAAACACCAAAACACAACGGGGTTTAAAATAAGAGAGCACATAGCTAATAATAAGATTACACATAAATATAAATAATATACATAAATTTAAATAAGATTACACATAGCTAAAACATGAGTGATACAGCTTTGGGATAAATTTGCCATGTTGTACTTTTTTTATTTTACTAAGACAAAGGTGAATGCTGATTCAAGGCAGAGAGATGAGATGGAATAGTTTTGAAAGGGCAAATTCCCCTAATAAACCAAATGAGAGATGTTTGACATGGCCTCAAGTTGTGCCAGGGGAGGTTTCACCTGGATATTGTGAAAATTTTCTTCACAGACAGGATGGTCAGGCATGGGAGCAGGCTACTCAGAGCAGTGGTGGAATCTGCATCCCTGGTAGTGTCCAAAAGGCATGTGGCACGTGGGGACATGGTTTAGTGGTGAATTCAGTGCTAATTCAGGTTCAGGACTGAACTCTGTGGTCTCACAGCTCTTTTCCAGCCTTAATGAGTCTATGATTTCACATTGAGAGCTGAAAGTCCTGCTGGGGAGCAAGAGCAGAATAGCAGGAGCAGAGCAAGGAAGGAGATCTGTGCTCATCCCTGAGGTGTGCTGGGAAGCAGCAAAGGGGGTATCACAGAAATGAGGGACACCTACCATGCTTGAGACAAGGCTGTGTGAGACTGAGATCCAGGCTTACCCACTGAATATCAAAGCTCCTTTTCATTGTTACAGAAGTGTTCGTTGTTTCATATTTTGCCTCCAGTGGAATTTCCAGAAGAACATTTTTCCCCTGGCTCCTACATCCCGAAAGCAGAAGTTGTCTCTCATCTTCAGCACCAGCAGGTGCCAAAAGAGGAATTACACACGAGGGATGCAATCTGCCCAGCTCCAGCCTAAACTCTGCTGAGACTTTGTGGGATGGTCCTTCCCAGCAAATCAAACCATCCATCAGGTCCTTCCCAGAGCTGGAAGTCTCAGCTGGAAGCACATCACTGCCTCCCAGGGCAGGAATTCTGCAGGGAATCCACCAGGCTCACACACACCAGCCAGGCAAAACCAGTGCTGCCCTTCCAGCTGGAGCACGTGGCAGGCCAGGGGATTTTGAAGCCCAAATATCTGAGGAGGAATGCCCACAAGAATGCTGTGCAGGAAAGTCACATTGTCCATACAACAATGCTTCTCCCAGAGGAGCCTGCTAACTTTTATGCTGCAGGTTTAAGTCATAAATCTAAAGAGGCAACAGAAGCCCCATTTGTGATGTGACTGATAATCATGCCAGCAATTTTTGCACATTCCTTTGTTCCATTTTCCTTCCAAAGAATGATGGCTGTTTGTAAGGCTTGCAGAGATATGTGATTCTAGATGAAGCTGTGAGAAAGCAAAAAAAGAAATGCACCCAAACAGTCTGACTCAGACACGTGGGGCTGTTCCAGTGCTCCTCATGTACACATAACCAAATTTTCCTCTGGTCACAGGAGGAGCAACCACAAACCAGGACTGGAGAAGACAGCTGCCTACAGGCATGTTACAAATCCATCCAAGATTTAAGTTCTCCTGGGAACTTATCCAAAAACATTCAAAAGATAACTCAGAATTGTTTATATACTCGGAGAAAAATGGCAAAACCCTGACTATTCAAAATAAGTGAACCTGACAGACAAATGAGTGATTATACCTCAGAGGATGTACACGTCTGCTCTTCCTCTCATTGCTAAATCATGGGCTAATCTTTCCACAGTATGATTATCTGTAACAAAACAATGCTCTTTGTCTACAAGAAATTGGCTCTGTTTCATGAGCATGGGCTTAATCAAAATTTCTCTCTATGACAGTGGTGGCAGAGTTTTCCCAGAGCAGCTGTGGCTGCCCCATCCCTGGAAGTGTTCCAGGCCAGGTTGGATGGGGCTTGGAGCAGCCTGGGGTAGTGAAAGGTGTCCCTGCAATGGCAAAGGATGGGACTGGATGAGCTTTAAAGGTCCTTTCTAACCCAAACTGTTTTATGATGCTATGACCTGCATTCCACTCCTTCAAAGCCTGCTGTGGATGGCCTCAGTCACCCAGCTCCCCAGCAGAAAGAGAAACCTCCTTTCCAATCTTGCCTGCTGGGAATTACAACATGGGCAATCCAGGGTGATGCGTTTTTAACCCTTTGCATGCTTAAGGACATGCAGCGAACACGGCAGAGAGAATTTCAGACACCCCAAGGTAAGCCCAGACCCAACCCAGTGGGTTGTGGAAACCCCAGGAAGAGTCCCCAGAGGCTCTCTGGTTAAGTGCAGCGAGGTCTGTGAGGATGTCACATGAGAAGCAGAGCTCTGTGAAACCTGCCTGCCCTGTCTGCCCAGGAGTGCCATTAACTGCTCTCCCCATCCATCACGTCCACTCCCAACCAGCACAGTCCCTTCACCACCTGCTTTACCTGACCTCAGCCCTGGACTGCCTGTGTTTCACCTACCCTGCAGAGTGAGCAGTGCCATCGTGCTGATGCCCTGGCCCCATCCCACTGTGCTTCAAGGCAGTCTCTTCACAAAGGTCACAATCCATAAAGGGGGCTCAGGGCTGGAGAGAAGGGAAATTACTGCATGGAAAAGGCAGCAGCAATCTCTGCTCCCTGTGACAGGGACAGCACCCAGGGAATGGCTGGAGCTGTGCCAGGGAGGTTTGGGTTGGATTTCAGGGAAAGGTTCTTCCCCCAGAGGGAATGGGCACGGCCCCGAGGCTGCCAGAGCTCCAGGAGAGTTTGGACACTGCTCCCAGGAATGCACAGGGTGGGGTTGTTGGGGTGTCTGTGCAGGGCTGTGAGCTGGACTCCATGACCCTGTGGATCCCTCCCAGCACAGGATATTCCATGAAGTATCCTCATTAATCCTCCCTCCTGCCTTCAGCTCCCCAGCTCTGCAGTTCTCTGACCCTGCAGCATCACCTCTGCCCGAGCCCAGCCTGCTCCTCTCCTCCTCCTCACCCTCCCACCACACTTCCTCAGCTTCTCTCACTCTCTGTCGAGCATCTTCCCTGCTCTGGTGGAGCTTCCCTTCCCAATCCTGCTTGGACAGGAGTGCTGGGCTTCCAGCAAGGTCCTTGAGCCAGCAGCCACGTGCACACAGGTTGTGAGCAGGGAGTACTGAGGAATGTAAATTATCTATTGTTTGCTCCAACCCACATGAGGTGAGAGTGGATATGAACAATGCACTCCCCATAGCACTTCTCCTGCACCCTATCGGCCTCTGATCTTAATCCCAGGAGTCAATGCCATCATCAATCACTGCTAATGAGAGCGAGCTCCCCTAGGCAGGGCCCTTATCTCACTCTGCTCTCCGGAGCCATATGAGGTTATGTCAGTCCTGCAATTAAGTAAAGGTTACACTGGCCTGAAAGGGTTAGCACCGGCTTTTTTGGGAACGCTTCTGTGCTGTCAGAGACCAGAGCAAGCAAAAAAAGCAAAAAAGGAAAGTTGTCTTCAAACTGAAAAAGGGTGGGTTTAGATTAGATATTAGGAAAAAATTCTTCCCTGTGAGGGTGGTGAGGTGCTGACTGACACAGGGTGCCCAGTGAAGTTGTGGCCACCCCATCCCTGGCAGTGTCCAAGGCCAGGCTGGACAGGGCTTGGAGCAGCCTGGAATCATGGAAGACATCCCTGACCATGTCAGGAAGGTTGAAAACGGGTGATGTTTAACATCCCCTCTAACCCAACCTATTCTATCATTCTATAACTTCATTTACATGCTACAATTCACATGTCATTTCTATTTTTGGTACCTTCTGATCCAGCAGACCCCAGTGCCAACAGCACAGAAGCAGCTGGTTTTGGACACTAACCCATACTTTGCCACCTATTGCCACTAAAGGTTCCATTTCCTACCAGAAATGTTTCCTGAGGTTAAGGTAAAGAGTAAACACACAGGCAGTAACTCTGATTCTCTTATTCTGCATTTCTGTGATTTTGATTTAGTATGTCCTCTGTAGCCCTGCTGCCTCCATCAGCCAGAAAATCACATCCACTGAGAAAACCAAACTCTAAGGAAAACCTCAATGAAAGTTAAACTGCATGAAAAGCCCACCACCAAACTGCTTTCTGGGGAACCCCTGCCACAGGGCAAAAATTACTCCTTCTCTTGGCTCTGCCAGAGACAAATCAGTCCATCAGACAAGGGAAGCTGCTGCCTTCATCTCTCTCACCTAATTCCTGTCCCAGCTAGAAAGGAGCTGATCTTGCACTGGCAGGCTCTGCCAAGAATTCAAGTCAAGGTCTCCTGTTTCAATAGCAGTTCAGAACACTGCTTGCTCTTCACCCAGGTCATGTACTACCTACAAAAATTATTTGTTGTGGTCTCCTTAAAGGCACAAGTTTCTACAATGCCATTAAAACACTCTTGCCTCTGCCTATAACTCAGCTGCAGATTTAACTGCAGCACAGACAATCCTGGGACAATCAGGTCAAGGCTGTCAATGAATATTGCCTCTGGACACAGTTCATGGGGAAGAGTGATCACTCAGCCCTGCCTCATTTATTATCTCAACAGCTTGGCTTCAGATCTGCAGCTTGGGAGCTGTGCCTTCCCTCCCTCCTTCCTACCACACGTGGTAACTCAGCACCCAGGTCAAACCCAAGGTTTGGAATTCAGTTCAGGAGAAAATGGATGAAAACCCTCTGTGCTGTGCAAGAAATTACACAGCAGAACAGATTAGCAGATGCAGTGGTATCCTTTGGCCTTTATTAGTTTCAAACTCATGCTGGGCCATATTTAAGAGTAGAGATGATGGTGAGGTACACTTGCAAGGTGAGAAACCTGTGGATGATGCTTGCAGATGCTGAAGAGCAGTCAAAGCCCTTCTGGAGCCACACAGCAACAGGTAATTCCCAGTGGAGAATTTCAGCAAGGAGAAATGGATAAACAGTCCAGATTTAACCACCAAGGTTCCAAAAAAAACGCACCAAACCCAACAAAAAATTCCCACAAACAAAAGAACCAAACAAAAGCCATGATAGCATTCTGGTTAAACTTTGCATTTAAATCAGTGAAAACACTGCAGACTATCAGAACTTAGGAAGGACAAAGGACAACAGGATTGAGCATTTCCCAGAGAAGATGCCACAATAAATGTCACTCCAAAGGGCACAGAATCTCAGGCAAGGCAGGGTGTGCGTGAGTGAGTGACCACAAGAGGTGTAGGGTTATTCTCCAGAGGCACATCCTAGAGAGGATTCATTGCCACAGATCTCATTCTGAGTGCCTTTGAATCTGTTTGGAGCCCGTGAAGTGAGGCAGCAAAGCTCAGACCATGGTCAGACCCACCCTTTCACTGGCCAGGGTGTTCTGTCAAGGGAAATGTGCTTCAGGTATTGTGTGCCCTGGTGGGAAAAAGCAGCCCACACTCCTTCCCAAAGGAGAGCAGCTCTCATCCCAGAGCAGGGCTGTGAAATCTGCAGCTAGAGGAGAATAAATCTCTTCAATCACCAGCATTGCCCATTCAGCAGGGACAGACAGAGCACATGAATCTCCAAAGGCTCACTTTCAGTAGGAAGGGTAGGCAGGGACCTCTGTTCTGGTGGCATTTCAAGTGCCTCTGATCAGACGTGTCATTTGGATCAGTCTGAAGGGATGTGTGGTGTCTCTGCCCTGCCAGCTGGCTCAGCCCCTGGCTCAGGCTAATCCCAGTGTCACACACAGGCCAGGCCAGCCCCTCTGTGCTGGTTTGGGTGACAGAATGGCCAGGCCAGGACAGGACACTCCATGGCTGGTGAGCTGACATGGGTCTGAGGGGGGCTGGCAGTCCTAAAACATTCCACAGCTCTCACTGAGCAGGCTGATACAGATCCCTTGTGAGTCAAAGGTCTCTTGGGGTTTCTGTAATGAGTGGCCACATCAGGCTTGTCAGCACAAAGCTGTGGTTAGAGCAGAGATATCTACACTGCTGGCTGGGCTGGGGGCCCCAGGACCATCCCCTTGGTGGCTTTGACCTGCCTTGGTATGGGCAAAGCAGAGACCAGCACAGCACTGCAGCTGTTCCATGGCCAGGACAGAGGATGTGAACAGGCAGGGGCAGAAATGCATAAATTTGGGAGATCAGAGAAGTTCATCCACCTCAATGGATGTGACTGCAGAATCAACAAACAAGAGAGAGGCACTTCCTTTGCCTTTTTCCACTGCCATGTTCTGCCCATAACACAAGCTGTTTTTCATGCAGTAATTGCCCACTAGGTGCAAATTACGCAATTACACACTTAATTTGCTTTGGCTGATGCTCACCAGAGGCAACCAGGGCTCACCAGCACCCGTGTTCCAGCTCCATCAGCCTGCCAACACAGCTTTGGTGATGGAACAGCCACAGACTTGGAGCAATGGGATGGCAGGCAGGAGAAATTCCCAGGTCAGGAGTATTGGTGAGGGGCTGAGCACACACCACAGGGCAAGTGGCTGAACCTGTAGACTTTCAAACCAGATCAGCAGGAGCTTGAGGCAGTGGTGACAGTGTTCTGCAGCACCATTCAAAGCCAGGAAACAGGATCAGTGTCACCAACAATAATGATGCCTGTGTTTGACACCCTCCATCCCTTTCTACTTTCCCTGCTCTATAGGTTTACCCATTTTTTTTTCTGCCTCTTGCTTTGTGAGCATTGTAAATGGGGTAACAGCACTACTTAATTAGTGGCTTGTCTTCATTTTCTTCTGTTTTTACTCAGTCAGGATTAAAAACACGAAGGAGAATTTTCTCATGTTTGGACTTGGTTGTTTGATAAATTTTGTCTAAAGTACCAGAGAGTTCTGCAACACTTTCAGCTACCAGCTAAAAGTGAGCAAAATGGAGTTGAATTTAGCTAGTTACAAGGTCTTTTAAAGCTAAACAGTCCAATAAAGAACTAACACCTCTATTATTTATACTTTTGACCCAATAACCGAACTCCTGTGACCTGCCGTGCAGCACTGACTGTCCAACTAGAAACTACTGCCTGAAATTATGAAGAAGGAAGATGAACACCGAAAGAGACACCACCCAAAATCCTCCATCTTGTCCCATACCTATTATTATATTTTAAAACCCCAAATTCAAAACCTTTCACCATGTGCAATCACACACTTCTAATCTAATTACATACCAGTGATTTTAACTCCATGACTCAAATTTGGAAACCTTCTCCAAGGCCCCAGGTCAAAAGCAGTGTTCTCCTGGGAGTGAGTGTCAGCACAGAAAGATCAAAACTCCCAGGTTCCTGGGATCCAACAAGGATGAAGTAGACGCAGAGGGAAGGTGGAGAGCCCACAGCAGCTTCACAGAAAGGGGAGCATGGCTCCACTTTCTGCTGCTGACAGGGACCAGACAGAGGGAAAACCCCTCTGTCCTCCCAGCTTCACTTCCCAGTACTTCACAGACAATCCCTCCAGGGAAGAGAGCTAGATGTGACAAAACGCCAGGCTTTTGCTTCAAATGTGTGCAGGCTGGCACTCTCAGAGGACTAGGAACACACAGGATGCTGAAGTAATTGGAGGAGAAAACCTTGGAGCTGAAGCTGAGACATAAAGGGAGGGAAGGGAACACCTGCCTTCACTCTGGTCTCTGAATCAGTGTGTGGATTGTCAGCAAAGTCAACAAATAACTCTTTGCTTTGGTCCTCAGTGACAAACCCGGACCAGGAGGGATGAGCTCTGCCACGCTCATCTCCAGCCACATGTTGCAATTTGGGTGCAGATCATCACAACCCCGCCACAGAGCCATGGGACCATTCAGGTTGAAAAGCCCTAAAAAAAAAAAGCCCTGGTTGAAACCATCCAGTCCAACCATTTCCCAGCACTGCCCAGGCCACCACTGACCCCTGTCCCCAGGTCCCACATCCACACAGCTTTTAAATCCCTTCAGGAATGGGAACTCCACCACTACCCTGGGCAGCTTTTTTGTGAAGAAATTTTTCCTAATATCCAATCTAAACATCCCCTGGGGCAATCCCTCAATCATTCATCACAAAACACTGCAGGAATTTCTTAGGGAGGCAGAAGAAATGTCATTATTTGCAACCTTTAAATTTACTAGTACTAAGACCAGAATTTGATAAATATGGAAGGCATCCTGGTTTTGGTATTGGACCAGAAGCAGGCATCCATACTGAAATCTTACATATTATTTAAGTACAGAACAGGGGAAAAATGGTCACAGAGTTTGTGGATCATATAGCCATGGATGATTTTCTTAAAAATTATTTTTTGGCTGATTCAAATCATTGTAAATCTTTTCAGCTATATGTTATCAACTGTGTATTTAAAACAGTAAAATGCTTCATACCAATAGCCATGGTCCAAGAGGAAAATCAGTCTACAAATAAAACTTGGAGGATTTGTAGTTCTGTTCTGACTTACCAGATATTTTTCTAGGAGATGCTGCAGTAAAACATTAAAGAGGAAGAGGATCATACTGGTGTTAACTGCAGCTATTCTTTACATGAATCATTTATGCTTCACTGTAACAAGATGTTTTTAACATGGATTTCACTTTAATCTTTTACTTCAATCCACTGAGTCCCACTGTGCCATGAGTGGTGAAATGCTTGAAAAGAGTCACACCACCAAAAACCTTACATCACAAATAGATAAAATCAAACTGCACATAGGGGAAGAAGGGGGAGGTACACAGAAAAGGCACATATCACAGGGGTGATAGGGATTACACGCCTCTTACTTGCTGCTTCCACCACCCTTACCCTCAGGTTTCTCAGCTGCTGGTGGCATGAATTATGTTTTACAGCTACTAAGGGCAGTTTACTAAGTAATCAGACCACTGGTCCTGATGCTCCTGCCCAAGGATGACATGCAGAGGGGACAGGGCAGGGACCTAAGCCAGTATTTGAAAAATTAACACGCTTGGCTGAGTAGCAACAGGTCCAAACAACCATAAATAAGGGCTGGATCCTCTCAGAGCCTCCAAAAAAAAAACCCTAAATAAAATAAAAAGCACCCAGAAATCTCTCTCTTCGCAAACACTGTGAACAGAAGGGAGAAAGGGGTCAGAAAGCAGCGAACACACTTCACACTGCCACATCTCAATGTCCCCTTCTAGGAGGTTTTCCCCGAGGTCAGAAGGGAGCAGAGGAGGCAGGAACAGGGATGAAGCTCCAAGGGGAGCCCTGCTATTCCTCCTGGGGTGGGCGCTGGCTCTGGGCACAGGGAAAGCAGCAGCAGCAGAGACTCAGCAGCATCTTCTCCTGTCTCTGGGAGCCCTCCAGCGGCTGCCTGCAGCTGGAATCACGGAATGCTTCGGGATGGGAGGCGCCTGGAGCATCATCCATGGCCAGGGACACTAGAGCAGGCTGCTCCAAGCCCTGTCCAAGCTGTCTGTGAGTCCTGTGGGTGCTGCTTTCCCTGTCACCATCCAGGAGGGAGCCAGTGGAGCCCTGCAGCATCACCTCAGGCAAGGTGAGATTATCCAGGCACACACCATTCTTCCCTCCCTCTGGCCTGAAGCAAAGGCAGCAAACCTCAGGCTGAAGCCAGGCAGGGAATTCACACCCCAAGGCTGTTAAACTTAGCCACGAGTTTGCCATAAGGGAGAAGAAAACACCATCAGCTCTGCAGATGAGCAAACTGCACAGTAAATTTGCTAAAGCTAAACCCAGAAGGAAAGCAGCAAGCATTTGCACAAGGAATCTGGGGAAAAAAAAAAAAAAAAAAAGCTGGAATTCATCTTGTTTCAAAGGAGGGAATGACTCATCAGGGTCATATGAGTGTGGACAGAGCAGGGTGGCAGGGGACACCAAAGCACTCCTCCACCAGTGAACCTCGGCCCAAGTGTCTTCAAAAGAAGAGTGGTTTGGGGCTTTTTTATACACCTAGGGATGACAAGATCCAGTGAGCACAAGGGGTAAAGCACAGCTGGTTTGAAGGCTCCAGGCTCAGGAGAAGGAGCTGCCTTAAGCTAGGACAGTAAGAGCCTTGCATGTCACGGGCAGGTTGTGAGGATTTCCTCTAGGCTGGTGAGTGGGTAGCAAAAGCCATTCCCCCTTGCCCCATCACACACATGGCATGGATGTCTGCAGCCCCAGTCTGCAATTCCCTCCCTTTAGCTGGAAAATGGTTAACACTGTGATTCCTTCTGGTGTAATCTTCATATGACTGACCACAAAACTATTAATACCTGAACCCAGGGCTGGTTCAGCTGAACAACTCATTCCCTCCAAACAGAAGAAAACCACAACTTCTTCTACCCCTGGAAAAAACCTTTTGTGACTGCAAGACCAGCAGCTCAGATGTAAGGGGATGGTTCTGGCTTGCTGATGCCCCTCAGGGGAGAGCACTGAGCAGCATGAGAGAGCTGGGCTTGGTTCTCCTGTGCCTCCTTCGCATCTCCAGGAAGGGTGAGTCCTGAGCTTGCTGCCAGCCCCTGCCTGATCTCAGCTTCTCCTCTCTAGTCCGAGTGCCAGGGAACTGCCTGCTGCACAACCTCCCCAAGAACTGCACTCTCCATCACGTTGCTTAAAAGTATCCTGAAATTCCAAGTGCAGGTGACAACACTGGGAAAACTCAGGATTAGCGATTGCCTAAGAGGTTGTCAGTTAGTGTAGGGGGGTTTTGCATTTTTCTGTTTTCCCAACCTGAGCAGGAAGTTCATCCAACTTTTCCCCAGCTTTGCCAGGTGGAAGAAGCATTTTCATCACTGCTCTGCTTCATATTCCTTAGGAGTTATTATGCAGCACAATATTTTCCAGTTCCACTGAGCACTTAAGCTCACATTTAACTTCAAATATGCGCTTAAATTCCATTAAACTCCATAGGATTTGTTTGGCTTCACTGCCAAACAGCGTTTTCCAGAGCAAGGGTAGTGGCTGAGCTGGTCCCCAGCTCTTGCTGTTGTCTTCATGACCTTTCCACTGACAGCCAGCAGTAACACTGACCTGACAACTCCTTTTGGGAATTCCCTTCTGTAAGGTGTGCAGGCTGTTTGCCTCTCTCTTTCTTGTGAGAGCTTCAGTTCCAGGAGCAAATGGAGAATGGATATTAACAAAAGGAATATGAAAGACCTACCATGCTGAGGCTTTAGAGTTAAGGGTAGATTATACACTGGAAGTTGACAACTCCCTCCACTCATAACTAGGCAAACTGTGTTTCCATGGAAATGGGCGGAGATGCTAGCATTAAAAGCACTTATTTTTAACATTATTTTTCATATGGAAGGCAAGAGGGGGTCTACGTGCTAAAAAAAATTACCAAAAGGTGTTCTTTGCTTAAGATTGAAAACAACAACAGCAAAAAAGAACAGGTAATCAAAGGGGTGGCAGAGAGAAGCAAGTCATACTCAAAAGCACACAATCTACAGTTCTCCTAAAGTAAAGGTTACAGTGAACTTGCTGCAAAATAACTAAAACAAGAGCAAATAAGCTAGAAAGCAACAGCAATTACTGTTTTCAGTGCCAGGTCCTTGTGCTCAAAGCCCATGAGCTTCATGAAGCTCCTGCAGTGCTGCAGCATTGTTTGTTAGATTACCTGGGCTGGAAAAGGTGCCCATACTGTTATTGTGTATGACAGGGCAGCACGACTCCAGATCCCAGTAATCAAAATACTGGCTTGGAGCTGACTCCATGTAAATATCTGAACAGAGAACTGGCCCTAGGATGGCCTTTGTCCATTGTGTAACACACAATAGGTTAACACAAGCTGCACTGCCACGGAGATGTTTGTCAAGTGTTATGGGGCACAGATACAGGAACAAAAAACAACTCTTATCTTTGAGTCTACAGTAATCTGACAGCTGAATGCCCATGTGGTGGAGCCAGCAAGACCAGGGATGGGTGGAACTCCTTACAGGATGCTTTTACATTTTACAGGTATTCTCAGCTACTGAGAGCCCCTGATCTAATGAAGGGGGTTTCATAAGACAGGAATGTAGGCACAGATGTTTCTGAAGCCACAATCTGCTGCCACAGCTGTTGATAGCAGCAGAACAGTGGGTAGATAGACATGTCTATATATTAAACTAAAGAGGGGAGATTTAGATTAGATATTAGAAAGAAATTCTTGGCTGTGAGGGTGGGCACGCCCTGGCACAGGTTGCCCAAAGAAGCTGTAGCTGCCCCTGGATCCCTGGAAGTGTCCAAATCCAGGTTGGATGGGGCTCGGAGCAACCTGGGATAGTGGAAATGGCAGGGGGGTGGAATGAAATTAATTTTAAGGCCCCTTCCAGCCAATTCCACTCTGCAATTCCATGATCCCTGCTTGCTTGCAGGTGTGCAGTGCAATGGCTGGTCTGTCCATGTCCCATCTGACGTTACTGGGGAGCTTGGGAAGATGGTTATCCTGCCCTGCACCTTCACACACCCCTACAAGACATTTGACCGGGCTCTCACGGCCATCTGGAGGATCAAGGAGCCTTACAATGGCACAGTGATCTTCAAGTGTGTGAGCCAGAGCAGCAGCGAGCTCTGCAGGACTGCCATCAGCCACAAGAACAAGTACAAGCTGCTGGGCAACCCCCGGCACAAGGACCTGTCCATCCGGGTGGACAACGTGACCTGGAGTGACAGTGAGAGGTATTTCTGCAGGGTGGAGCTGGCTGGAGACGTCCAGGACAAGTATGAGAGCAGGAATGGGATAAAGCTGCATGTGATTGGTAAGAGGGCCTGAGAGGGTGTTGGGTTTTCCTGGGATGTTTTTTTCTCTTATTTATATTTACATATATCTATGTACACACACAACAGGATGGGAATGCTGGAGCAGCTGTCTCAAAGCTTTATTCCATCACATCATCAGCCTCATTTTACAGAGCCAAGCAAGGGGGATGGAGCAGCATCAGCTGCCAGCACAGCAGACCAAGTTCTCTTTGTTACAAAGTCTTTTAACAAATTTCTAGCCAATAGCATAACATTAAAAGCTGACAAGTGTTTGCTCAGGCCAATTAATAAAGCCACACATACATTTTGCTTTGAACAAAGCTTGCTTGTAATAGCTTAAAACAATGGATAAAGCTTCATTATTAAGCTTACATATTTCTACTATCTTCTTTAACATTTTTTAAGGCCTATCTCTACACAGCTCACAGCACTGTTGTGTCTTGTCCTTGCATCATCAGCATTCTTGCATTTCTCCATCTGGAGATTTGCTTTCACGCAGCATTTCTAAGAGTTTTATACCTTTTCTATTTCCCACAATGGGCAAAGGAGGCAAAGCCACCCCCTAAGGAAGAGCCACAAGGGTGTGGGAAATGAAAAATGGTAGCAGAAGTTTACCTGAGATGGTTTTCCAAAGGGTTCTGTTTTCTTTCTACATTGTAACAGGGAAAATTCACTGTTCTTCTCAGTCTTCCAATCTGAGACAGTGAGCACAGTACAGGGAAGGGAATAGGAACACAACTGGTAAGGAAATGGTGAGGCTCTGGAAGAGCCCACCAAAAGCTGTGCACCCCACTTTGTGCCTGCAGCACGGGGTCAGGGCAGGCAGCAGGGCAGGCTGGGGTCAGCCAAGATGAGATTAAAGATATCCTCTCCATCAGAACCCAAACTGGACAGCCCAGGGGCTGAGCACAAGTTCACAGGGGTTAGCACAATGGGGCCTGGGTGGTAAGAGGGGATTGGAAACACAAGATACCTGGTACCCTGGTGCCATAAATCCGAAATCCTCTGGAGCATGAAACACGAAGTTTTTCCTGGAAAAACAGCTCGGAACAACAAATCTCAAATGATAATCCCACTTCCCAGGGCAAGCTCACAAATGAATGGGAACACAGGAGGACTCAGAGGCAGACTCAGATCTTACCCAGGCCATGACGTTGGATGGTTTTGCTTCTGAGAGGGAAGTTTCTTATGCCTGCTGTGCAGTGTGGGTGTCCAGATGATGAGCTTGGCTGTTTCTTGAGGAGTTTTGCACAGCTGAGGCTCTCCTTCAGTTGCAGCAGCTCCTGAGCACCCACACACAGCAGGACCAGGGCAGGATGGCAGCAAGACCTGTCTCTCAGAGGCTGCCTGGGTTTTAACACTAGAGGGATGGTAACACACACAGATACTGCCTGGGAATGGGCCCTGACACTGTGATTGAGAGGGAGTAATTAATGCTTAAAAGGTTAATTTAAACACCAAAACAGACCCATGACACACAGCCTCAGATTCCTCTTGCACTACATGAACAAAGGGGAAGACATGTGGCTACAAACTCTATTTTTGTTGTCCAGTCTGAAAAAACTGAATTCCTGCTCTTCCTCAGTGAGGACACTCATTTAGTGCCCTTCTCTTCCTGTAACACCTTTTAGAACACTTCCAGGGATGAAGGCTCCACCATCTCCCTGAGCAACCCCTTCCAATGTCCAATCACCCTTTCTTTGAAAAAAATTTTCCTAATGTCCAACTTGACCTGGTAACTCTGGGGCTGGAAAGAAAATCATCTAAAACAGGTTGTGGCAAGAAGCAGATATTTTCCCTATAACTAACCTGGCAAATCTGGCAAGCCTCAGGCACTGAGCAAAGGGCTCACACAAACGGGTCCATCCACGTGCGCTCTGGAGGTCAGAGATGAAAGGAGCAGCCACGAAATGCTTGTGCAGAACACTGTGGGTGACATGTCCTGGACCTTGTGGAGATGCAGCCAAGTCCAGAAAGGTCACCAGCTGCACCTGTGCCTACAATGGTGGGTGGCACTTCTCTGCCTTCTGCCTCCAAGGAAGGGCACAACAGATGAAGTTGACCGAAGTTCAGAAAAATGTGTGAGCCATTACTGGGTAAAACAAATAGAGTCCACATCCTTGCATTCAGGCTTTGCTGGGTGAATCCTTTTGCCCCTCTATCCAACATAGGCTGGGTGAGGAAATCTAGGAGAAGAAAGTGCCAAGAAAAACAAGGAAGGAGAGGACTGATGCCAACACCCATAGAGTTATTAAATAGTTTTGTTGAAGAAAATCTTTAAAGCTCATCTTGTCCAATTCCTGCCATGGGCAGGGACACCTTCCACTGTCCCAGGCTGCTCCAAGTCCTGTCCAGCCTGATCTTGGGCACTTCCAGGGATCCAGGGACAGCCACAGCTTCTCTCAGCAACCCTCTTTTAAAAAAAAATTCCTCCTTATATCAAATCTGAATCTTTACTCTTTTAGTTTTGAAATATCAACCCTTGTCCTGTCACAAGTCTTGTTAAAAAATTTATCCCTATTTTACTTGAAGCCCCTTCAGGCCCTGGCAGGGGCTCTGAGCTCTCCCTGGAGCCTTCTCTTGTGCAGGTGAGCAGCCCCAGCTGTGCCAGGCTGGCTCCAGAGCAGAGGGGCTCCAGCCCTGCAGCATCTCCGTGGCCTCCTCTGGGCTGGCTCCAGCAGCTGCACGTCCTTGTGCTGTTGGAGCCCAGGGCTGGAGGCAGCTCTGCAGGTGGGCTCTCACCTGAGCACAGGGGCACAGGGGCACAATCCCCCCTGCCCTGCTGCCCACGCTGGGGGATCAGCCCAGGGCAGGAGGGTTCAGGCTGGGGCAGGTCCAGCTCTCACCCACCAATATCCAACTTTACCCAGAACAACGCTGAGGGTTCACCAAACCAAAACTTCATTCCAGGTGTTTTGCACCTGCCTTTGCAGCCTAACCCACTTTCCGTGCCCTGTTGTGATTCCCACAGCCGCCCCCAGGATCATTAACATCACGGTCAGCTCCAGCAGGGACCACACCTTCCAGGCTCGCTGCACAGCCGAGGGGGAGCCAGCCCCTGCCCTGAGCTGGAGCGGACCCCCCGAGAGCAGCCTGAGCTCCAGCAGCATCTCCGGCCACCGTGTCACCAAGGAGCTGCGGTCCCTGAGCCACGACGGGAAATACACCTGCACTGCAGTCAACAGCCACGGCAGGGCGGAGGGAGCCGTCTACTTCTACAGGTTCAGGGCATCCGACAGCTCCTCCTTCATGGTCCTCATCTTCGTGCCGCTGGGAATCAAGGTGGTGGTTCTGCTGGCGATCCTGAGCTTCACCTTTTTCTCCAGAGAAGGTCAGTGTCCTGACTGCCCCTCCATCCCACTGGATGCACGGACAAGTCAGGCAGGAGGGGACTGGGTTTGTTTGGGGGGACAGAGTGTTAATGGTTTTATGATTTTCTGCCCTAGGAGAAGGATAGTTCTAGCAGGAAACCTAAGAAGAGCCAGAAGCTCTTGGCTGACAGAGGGGCCTTTGGAAATTCAGAGGGAGCAAGAGTTTCCCTGTGCCCAAGAAGAAATGTTAATAAACCAAGAGGGAAAATTAGTGGAGAACCTACTGCCTACATAACCAGATTTTTATTGGTTTTTTTCCCTGAATTACTATCTCTTTCCCTGTGGCCCACAGCCAGGATTCACCTTTGCTACATCCCACATCCCATACCATCTCCTGGGATGAGCATCCTCATTTTACAGAGCCTTCCTGTCAGTCCCCCAGGGCCTCACTACCCAGCACTTCCCCAGCATTTGTGAAATCCCACCTTCCAGCCACGCCAAGGCTGTGAGGTCAGCTTACAGGAGATGAGAATCAGGCCGTGGACTGAGGGATACAACATCCCAAGCATCCAGGAGGCTGCTGGCCCCCAGCCCTGCAGTGCTGATGAGTGGTGGCATGGGCAGGACTGACAAGAATGAGATGTCCCATCACTGTGACTCGTCTGTAGGGAGAGTCTGGTGTCACATTCATGGAAGCCACCACTTGTCTTGAACAGTAGTAGTTGTCAGACCAGCCAAAAATGCTTTGCTCCTTATATTCCAGTGCCTAATTCCCAAGTACATGGAGGGGGCCACATGCCTGACATCAGGGCTTCTTCCCATTCACTGGAGTGTCACAGCAGCTCTAGGCCAGTCCTGGCTCCCCAGCCCCCTCTGACCTCATTGCTAACCCACATCATCATTTCCACTTCACAGGTCCCTCCTCTGCTCCATCCAGCCTGGCCAGGTAAGGATGTCTTGCCTTCTACTCGTGTTACCCTGCAGGAGAGTGAGCATGGCCAAGGTGAGAAATGCAGCTTGTCCTTGGTCTTGGTAACAATTTTCTGGCCTCAGAGCAGGCTGCTGGGGGAAGGAGTGGGTTGAGCTGATGGCCAGGTGAGCCAGTGTGAGGGAACAAGGATTGGACACTGCTGGGAGGAGGTTCTGGCTTGGGCACAGCTGAGAGGAGACCCCAGTGGTGTGAGGACAAGGGACTGGGAGCAGTTTGGAGAGACCACAGCACACGGCTGCTGTACAGAAAAGGGCTGACAGAACTTTAGATGAGGCACAAGCCCAGAGCATGGCTGGAAGGCTGCAGAGCCAGGCTGGGAGAGCTGGGAGCTGAGAGAGCACAAGAGAAGGCTCCAGGGAGAGCTCAGAGCCCCTGCCAGGGCCTGAAGGGGCTCCAGGAGAGCTGCAGAGGGACTGGGGACAAGGCAGGCAGGGACAGCACACAGGGAATGGCTTCCAGTGCCAGAGGGCAGGGCTGGATGGGATCTTGGGAAGGAATTGCTGGCTGGGAGGGTGGGCAGGCCCTGGCACAGGGTGCCCAGAGCAGCTGTGGCTGCCCCTGGATCCCTGGCAGTGTCCAAGGCCAGGCTGGACAGGGCTTGGAGCAGCCTGGGACAGTGGAAGGTGTCCCTGCCCATGGCAGGGGGTGGCACTGGATGAGCTTAAAGGTTCCTCCCAAACCATTCCATGGTTCTGTGATGCCACGTTAAACCAACAATGGATCATCCACCCAAGGGAATGGTCAGGGATGGGGATTCCTGTGCTGACACTGTGAAACATAAATCTTCCCCTCCCACTGCACCCCAGTTTGTAATGGAGCAGAAAAATTTGTCCCACCAAAGATGATGAGCTTAGCCAAGTGTGCAGGGAAGGTATGGAGGTAGCAAACAGCTCAGCTCAGGTGTGACAGGGCCTGATTCTAGGGCTAGCATCCATACCACGCTGCCACAAACCTCTGGCATTTCTCCTTACCCAGCACAACACTGATCTTGGACACTCCTGACAGCTGGGGTGGCCAAACTTCTGGGATAGAAGAAATAAATTAAAAAATAAACAAAAAGTCCCACCAAAACCAACCCTTGATCTAGTGGTAAAGAAGACTTATCTGAGGTCAAGGATAATTACATCTGCATGGGGCTGCTCCCTTTCAATTTGAGTAATTTCTTTGTGATACCTCCTTCCTGAGTTACCCCGCAGGTCTCCTTCCCTGACCTTTGCCAAGAACAATGGATATTCCAGCAGGACAGTGTACAGGGCACAGTCAAAGAAACAAGGAACTTAATCTCACAGTAAAATCTGTAATTACTTGTAAAAAAGCATTAAAAAGCCCAGTTTAGCTGATCTATCAGGGTCTAAACCACATTGTACCCTTGGTTATATTTGCTTAGATACCTACACAGGTAAGAAGGCTTAAAGCCATCACTCCTATGAGAAGATCCTCCTCGGGAGAGGATTGTCCCAACCTCACGAGGCTCTGGGCAGGACAGTAGCAGAATGGATGCTAAAGGTGCAGGGTATTGCTCTAAAATGTAAAAGCTTTAAGGTGTAGAACAGCAGTTGCAGCTCAGACCCTTAAAATCTGCCGTGAGGTGGAAGAGGATCCATCTCAGAGCGCTGCAGACGCTTCCTCTGACATCCCCTGAGCCCCTGGCAAAGCCCAAAGCACTTTCCCACTTTCCCCACATCTCCTCCTGCCAGGCCACAGCTGCCAGAGTGCACCTACGAGAACTGTGACCGCAGACACCAGAGCCTGCCCACGGCAGGGACAGCGCCCAGGCACAGCTGAGGGGCTGGCCAGGATCCATCCCCATGGATCTCCTTCCCCAGGGAGCACAGGACCAGCCTTGGCCGAGGCTCAGGAGGTGAGACCAGCCTCGGGGAGCTTGGGACTGCATGATCTGCAAGTGCCTTCCACGATGCTATGAGCTCCTGCTTCTCCTCAAGAGTGAGAGTAGCCCTTACAGGGAAAAGAGAAGAGTGATGGAGCTGGAAGAGCAAAACATGGTCAGTTTTAACCTACCTGTGTGATTTTAGCCCGTATCAGATATTTAGCAAGCAGGCAATAGTATAAAATTGCCTCACAGCTTTTTGCTTTGGTATTCCTCAAACATCACTCTGAAAAGCCGTTTTCACCACTCCACTTCTCCCACCATATCCAAGTGGGCTACTGACACGACAGAAATCCTAGTTGTGGAAAAACACTACTGGGATTTCTAATGGGGTTTGTTTCTTTTCTTAAAAAATAATTATTATTCCTAAACTACCAGAAGAGCTTATTTTAAAGGAAATCTTAACTTTAAAGAGGCATCCAAGCAAAAAAGGAAGACGTTTTCCAAAAACTGGCAGAGCTGAAAGCAGGACACGGGAAGTCTAAACTAGTCTGTGTTATAACTCTGCTTCAGCTCCTAGTGCCCAGAAACTCAGAGCTTTGTGATAAATGTTCCAATACACAAAACTGTTGGGTTGTTTGGTTTTTTAATAGCTAAAAAATATTTCTAAACCATTTCTATACCTGTGTTACACAAAGGAGTTTAAGGTCTGACTACTCATTTCTTAAATCTCTCTTCTGAGATGAAGTCACTACTACGAAGTGGTAGTAAAAGTCACAAAGGCCAACCACAGACAAATCACTAACCCAGCTGTGAACATCCTCCAAGATCAGGTGAGCAGATCCAATTTATGGTAGAGGGCAACGTGGGGCAACCTGGAAAGGCAGGCAGAGGCCCAGGATGGCTTAGATGAGGAGGAGGAGAAAGGATTAAGAAAGAGCAGGTGGCTTGAACTTATTTTCATGTTTATACTGATGGATTTGATGCTCTGTGCATCCATCCCAGTGCAGCAACTCCAAAACTGGTCCCCAAACATCCTGCTCCTGGTAACAATCACCACGTTGCTACTGAAATACCATCAAGCTTGCAAGCTCAACCCCAGGCTGGTAATCATTATTTTAAAGTTCACCTCTTCATAATATCTGCACTGGGAAAGCAAAGCAGAATACTAAATGACTCGGCCAGAATGATAAGGGAAAAAAAAATAAATGCAAGGATATACTTGAACCTGATCTTTTAAATCCCTGCTTAAAATCCCAGCAGTGACAAAGCCAGATTTAATAAAAATAAGAAGAGATGCGAAGAGAAAAGGGAAGTTACAGCAGACAGTGTAGTCACAGACCTGTAAGCTCAGTTTCACAAGTCACAGTCACAGAGGAAAGAGACCTCAGAGATATCAGTTGGACAAACTGAATTGGATTTCTGAGCCCTTACGATTTACATACATAGAGTAATGAGAACTCACTTCTACCTGTGCATGGGATTGAGGCTTGGCTTCCTGAATTTTTCTCTCAAAAATTACTTCTTTAACTCAAGTAGTTTGAGTGCAAATAGAATCATCAGACCTCATGTCCCAAAACCATCTCCACTCCCCCTGGTCCTCATGGGAGACTCAAACACCCACTCAAACCAGTATTCTCAAACCAGTGGAAGGACAAAACACAGCAGTGCACCCACCAGGACACTTCTGGTATTGAGGAAGGAATGCCAAAGTCCTTCCAGTAAAACCAGAAGGCATAAAAAGTCAATCTCTTGGGCACCACTTGGACTCCCAAGCTCTGGAGTTCACATGTGCACAGAAAACTGCAAAACAGGTTCAGACTTCAGCCACTGCCACGCTGATCATTCAGCCAGAAGACTGGTGACACATAGAGCAATTATGTTATCTGTTATCTGATGTGGATACTTCTACAAAGTTGAAAACATCACAGTGTCTGTCACCAACTGCTTGATTTTCCATTTTTATTTTGCATGGTCTTTGCAGACAGAGCATGTTATAAATACAACATTTGTAAAAACGCAACAGCTGAAACAATTCCTCATTTTGAAAGTGCATGTCAAACACATATTTCTGACTTCTTCACATTTATATGCAACTGATCAATAACATTGAACCTAATAAACCCAGTGCTTTTAAGTCTTTGGGGGGGAAAGCAGCAGAATGTATTCCTCCAGACATGAATTTTCCAAAAGAGTCTGTTAAAAACCATGCTGCATTGGTGTCTGGTTACTATACAAAGGGATATACATATATATATTTATTTATAGGCTCGCAGATAGAGCAAAGAACTCTAAGACCACATTAAAATGATGGTGATCTAATGACC